GAAAAGGTTAGGTATTGCCCAAAGAACGGCGGTGGGGTTTATGGCGTCGTTCGTCCACACTCCTTGCCCCAAGAGGCAAACTAAGCAATTTTGCATTTTAGCGGCTTAAACGTAGCCAGCAGCGTAACACACACGCATACGATTTTTTTTCCGTCCGTCGGCTCTGTCCGCTCTCTGCACCCATGGTTTGACCCCCCTCCCTCTCCCTCTTTTCCTTCCCCTCTTGTTTACGGCGTGATGTCAATGCTGCAACATTTCAGATCAACGTGATCCTCCGAGAGGAGTACTCCCTCTCCAACGACGTGGCCAAGCACCTTGTCAGCAACCCCCCTCCCTCTCCCTCTTTTCCTTCCCCTCTTGTTTACGGCGTGATGTCAATGCTGCAACGTTTCAGATCAACGTGATCCTCCGAGAGGAGTACTCCCTCTCCAACGACGTGGCCAAGCACCTTGTCAGCAACTACGGCACCAGGGCCCTTCAGGTACGACGCCCGCCCCCGCCGGTGCGCGCCGAGCCCCCTTGAAATGAGGAAGTGGAGCCACGGCGAGATCCAGAGAGAGACAGGGAGAGACAGAGACAGAGAGAGACAAAGAGACCGATGGGCAGAGCAGGACACACACAGAGAGGACAGGGGGAGGGGGTGGAAGAACTCGTGTGTGGTGTCTGGGGCATTGCAAAGGTGTTAAGGGATGGCAAAGAAGAGAGAGAGGGATGGTGTGGAGTGTGTTCTTTTACGGGCTGAACCCCGGCTTGTGGTGAGAACGTCATCGCTGGCGTAGTGGATGAAACGGGAATGGCCGAACAGAGAGAGAGAAAAGGGGGCCTACTCAAGAGGACGAGGTGTCTGTCGGGGTAAGCGCACCAATTTTTCCGTAGCACACAGCGTAGTCCGCATGCGAAAACGAAACACTTGATGTGTTTTTTTATCACAAATCATAACGCAACAATGGGACGGCGTTGATACTTCTTTTTATTGTGTGGTGACCGGTAACGTGTGTACCTGTAACATATTTCATCACGACGGACTGCTGCTTGCTTGCGTGCTTGCTTGCTTGCGTGCTTTCTTGCCAGATCGCCGAGATCGTGAAGCGCAACAAGGGCTACGCGCACTCCACAGCGGCGGCCCGGTGCCTGGCCATCAAGTACCCCTTCTTGGAGGCGGAGGTTGTCTTCGCTGTCGAGCAGGTGTGTCCGCTGTTGTTCAAGGAGAGCAGAGGGTTGTTGCGGAGGAGTGGAGTGGAGTGGAGTGGAGAGTGTGGTGATTTTTGAACAAAGTGGAGACGGGTAGGATTGCTTTGGGAGGCGTTGAGTAGCGGGAGTAGAGCGTGGTGGGATGGGAATTGAGTGGAGCAAGGTGGGGTGGTGGCTTGGGAAGGACGAGCGAGAGAGCCAACGCCCCTCTCCTATACGGTCGTGAACAATATTGTCGCACCCCGGTATGCTCGCTTCTTTCTTTTCTGCTGACGGATTCGCAGGAGTACGCCCTGAAGGCCGTCGACGTCCTCGCGAGACGCACCCGCCTGGCGTACATCGACAGCAAGGCGGCCTTGGAAGCTGCGCCCAGAGTGATCGAGATCATGTCCGGGCTTCTGGGGTGGTCCAGATCAAGGCGTAGGCAGGAGATGCAAGAGGTATCTACCTGTAGACGCACGTATACGTAGGGCGTGATGCATTTGTGGATTGTGTTTTGTCTCTGTGCTTTACTGGTACGCCTGGCGTGTGATGTGTTGGCAGGTGTTGTTTTCCCAGAGTACGGTTGTGTAGGTGGCCTTTAATTTTGTCTCTCGTGGTCGGGATGAGTGTTTGAGGTTGTCTCATTCGGCTATGCATGTTTCCCTGGCCGGGGAGCGAAGGAGGACACGTTCACGCGCGCTGGTGTTCCCTACACACATTCGGAGGAGGGGGGGTGAATTAAGCGCGTGTTCTGTCAACAAAGGTGACAAGCGAAAAAAGCAACAACAATGCTCGACTAGCGAACCCCAAAAACATGTACTTTGACTTTTTTGCTGGAAACGGAGTTGGTAAGAAACAGGCAGGGAAATTGCGGCCGGCGTATTTTATTTATGTTTTCTTTGCTTGCTTCGCTCATCCCTACCCCCATTTTTATGGTCCTGGTTGTTGTCCCGTGCGTTGCCCTTGCCGCCCCCCCTCCTCTCTCTCTCTCTCTCTCTCTCTCTTTCTCTCTCTCTCTCTCGCGTGCCGGCGTTTTGACGACAAAATTGCCACGGAAACAAACAGGTAGAGCAGTTTTTGGAGACGATGAGCCCCGCCGCCGGTGCCGGCAAGTCTGGCCGCCGCAAGCATTGATTCCGTTGGTCATCGTGAGGCATGGCATGGCATTCCCAACGTAGATAGGGCCGAGCGGCAGCGCGAAGGCCCGGCATGAACGTGGTGTGGTGAAGGACGTCTTGTCGTTGCGGCGAGATACGCCGCACGTTGTGGCGCGGAAGCAGTGGAGGCGTATTGTGTCATCACCGGGGGGGGGGAGTAGACGGGGAAAGGGCGAGAACCCCCGTAAGTTGGTTGTAGGAAGGAGAAACAAAAAAATCGAGAGAGCGACGGGCCGAGCGTAATTCCTTACCTCAGGTCGTACGTTCTTCTCGGGACGTCGTGTTCGTGTGTGTTGTCTGTCGTTTGTTTTTTCGTCCCATTTTTTCTGGTGCCAGCGTACACGCTTCGCTACATGTTTGACGTACGGTATCGGCCGAGGTCGCACACCGGGAGGAGGTAACACCGGAACAGTCGTTCTTGCGTTTTTGTTGTTGTATCCCACCTTTCCCTTTCCCCCTGATTGGGTCTGTTCGGTTTTTGACGCAACAAGGGTTCAGCAGGCCCCTCTCCTCTTCTCGTTGATGGAACAACGTCGCTTTCTACCTTACAGAGAGAGTTCCAAGTTGTCCACTCCCGGAGATAGATTCGATCCCACATCCTGCTGCTAGTACATGAGCTTTCGAGGTTACCCACTAATTGGACAGCCGGGGCGACCGGCCTCGTCAAAAACAGAAGAACACCGAACACGGCAACACGGAAGGGTTGGCATATCCAGAGGTCGCGGGGAATGATGTGTGTCGGCCTTGCTCGGGAATGGACATCGGCGTTGCTTCGAGTTCAGATAGACGAGAGGGCGGGCAGGGGTTGTAGGAGTTTGCCCGCACGGCATGCACACACTGGGGGGTGGACACGTGCAGTTTTCTTCTGTTGCTACCGCTGTTTCTGTCTTGAATCCGGAGAATAGATTAGCCTCCCCCCTCACGGGGTCCCGGCTCGTGGTGGCCTTTGGAAGCGTGTCGTGTTTTCAAGCACACTGAGACTGACGTCTTTTCAATGGTCAGCCGGTTAAGCACGGTCGATGCTAGAAAAACACACGCACGGTTGCACGGCGCGAACGGCTGAGTTCGGATGCGAACAACGAAATCGGCAACATGCACGCAGTCTCCAACACAACACGGTGAGAAATTGGTCAGTCTCGTAAATGGTGGCTTCGTCATCCGTCTTGGTTCTCTCTGCACGCTTCTGCCCAGCCTGGACATGCCGGTTTAGACATCCAAGTTCCATCTTCTCTTGCTTGGAAAAAAATGCAACTTGTTGTTGTTCGCGTTCTAGAAGCACAACGCAACAGATTGCGTGCGCAGAAAGGGCTCGACATCGTGTGCCAGCACCGGCGGTGGTAGTCGTTCCACCCTGTACCGACTTTGCCATACGATGGCCGTGTAGTGCAGCCGAGCTTCTGACAGCGTTGCTGTCGTCTCCGTCGTTGGTATAATAATGAGATAGCACGCAGGAGGAAGGCAGGTACGTTCTTTCTTCCGAAACGAAACGGGTCAACGCACGCAAAGATATGTAGAGCCTTCGATAATACGAAAAAAAAAAGAAAAAAAAATCGCCTTGGTGTCACACCCGGGTTTGCATGCTCGCATCGCAAGAGAGGACGGCAATATTGCAAATAGAAAAACCACCCAGTCTTCGCCTCTCGCCCATCATGCCACGAGGGAGGAGTGTCACCGAACGCTGGGAGGGGCAAAGGCAGCGCTGTGCCGTTGAGGTCCTCAACCACAAAAGCGGTAAAACGTTTTTCAGACAAAAAAGAAAAAAAAAACAGCACGTTAAAGAAAGCTGCCTCCGATCGCCTTATCTAAGCGCGCGTCGAGCACGCGGCCAAGCTAATGAAGCCTCTTGCGGGCAGCCGCTCTCTCCCTGTCTAAAAAATAAAACAGGCCACGGAACAAGTTTTCCTGGGGTAAATTTTGTGCAAGACCTTGAGCCGACGCGACAAACACGCGTGAGGCCGCCATGGACGACGCGCCTCTTCGGGCCGGCCGTCCACTGCAGTCGGGCAGAGCCAGCTGTGGCAGAGCGCAAAGGCCCGCTTACCTCCCCCGCCCGCCCCTCCTCGTTTGGCCTCCTCTTCCACGCCCGCCACCCATTCCTATAATCCCCTTCACACGACGCGGCGCTTCTCAGCGTGGCTCATCCCACGCATGCACGTTGCAATGTGGGTTTTCTTGGCTGCGGCCCGAGCAAGGTTCTCGCAGAGGCCGCTCCTGAGCCGGGGTGTTCGGGCTGCTTCCACTGCTGCTATCACTACCAATGCAACCGCAACTTTTACCTCTGGTCATGTGCTAACCAAAGAGCCGGCTCATTGACCCCTCCCCCTCCTGCACGCACACCACAACCCCCCCCCCCGACCCGTCGGGTCTGCCTCCTCCGCGGAACCGCTACCTCCTAAGTGCTATTCTTACTTCCCCTCGAGCTTGTCGAGTCTATCGCTGAAATTGCTGTGGTTTTTGGCAATTGCCGCCTCCAACGCTGCCGTGGAACCCTTAATCTCCTGAAAAAAAAAAAAGAGAGAAAAACAAAGAAGGAAAAATAAATGTAAGCGACGTTTACGGTGTGCGTGCCACGCTTTATTGGACGAAAGAGACCGGATGTCGAAACGTTTTTCAGCGAGGGAACACCGGGTGGTCGCAACAAGAGAACTTGGGAATCGGAGAAAATGCACGAAAAGCAAGCCGCTTCAGCGGGCATGACGCGCGCGCGCGGGGGGGGGGGGGTGTACTCATAGTCGTGCATGCCGTAGTCGTTTGACCATTGACCTCGCATCCCTACAAAGCCGGGACGGAGCACGCCGGGTTCTCACCGGACCAGGCTCTCACATCACCAAGCGCGAAGCGCCGTGAGGTATTTGGCGAGTCACATGAAGGGTGAGCTGCATCCTGCTAAGGGTGTTCGGCATCTTGTGCTTACTTCCTTGCGGACGGATGACAGCTACGTATGACTTAATTTATTTTCTGGTGCTTTCACTTCCAGAGACAGTTGTAAGCACTGTGTAACTGCCTCGAGGATGCTTGACCATTTTAACACAACGGGGGGGGTGTGTGACATAAACGGTCAAGCATGTACGGCATGCACGGAGCGGAAGCAGCATCTGACCTGTAGACGGTGCCGAACGCAAACACTACACAACACGGCTGGTTTTCGCGAGCGTTACAACGAGCAGGTCGGGAACCACAGGAGAACAACAAGAAACATCAGTGGGGGAGAACGGCGGCTCGAATCCCGGCGACGCATTTTCCCAACAGGTCGTACGCATACGCGGTTTAGCGCCGGCGCTTAAGAACTTGGTAGTCAAGAAGTTGAGAAAAACGCTAAATAATCTAAGAACTTGAGCATCGTTTGCGATCTCGGAGAAGAACCCCCAGCGGCCATTTTGCGGCATAGCCCCAGGCACTAAGAAGCCCAGACTCGAAACTAGCAGTGCAGGGGCGCTAATGGTATATGGGCCGGCCAAAACTAGCAGTGCGGGCGCCAACGGTGTATGGGCCGGCCAAAAACTAGCAGTGCGGGCCCAAACGGTATACGGGCCGGTCCATCCTTCTCACCGTTGACAGGTGGTAGTAACCGACCCCGCAACCCACCCCAGCCCCGGTCAAAAATGCCGCGACTCGCTGCAGGAAAGACGAGCCCCCGCTGCTGGTCTCCGGCGATGGCGTGGGCTGTGGCGGCGGAGGCGACGGCGGGGAAGGCTTCTCAGAGGCGGCGGCGGCCTCGCTTGTTGTTGTTGACAGGAAGCGCCGTGCCGGCGCCGCGGAGGCAGTAGCGATCCTTCGGGACGTCGCCGGCGCCCTGCGATGAACACGATGGGACAACAACGGCCAACGGCAGGGATTGGTATTAAAGTGCCGCCGAATATCACGCAGGATAACACACCCCGCCAGTGACACTTTTATCTTGCGCGTGAAAAAACTCATCACTCGGCGGCACGTCGGTGGGTGTTATCTTCTGTCATCCTACATAGTGCTATTTAAGTGATGGTAAAATCCAGGGCTCTCATGGTGGGTTACAAAAATACAACCGCGACGTAGTGCGTAATTTTGTGGCCTTGTTATCTTGTGTGGTAGACGGTGTCGATAGTCGCACAAGGTAAAGCGGCGTTGTCGTTGAGTTGGCTGAAAGTTCCACGGCGGACATGCTTGAGCGGTTCACTTCCATTTTGTGTCGGCGATCAGTACACGTGCTTGCTCCTTCCGTCATGGTAAACCTACTTCGAACAAACAAGAGTTGCTGAACTCGCGGCAGGCTTGCACACCGGTGCTACATGTATATACGAGTACATGGTAACAGCAGCATCATACGAGAGTTGCTGAACTCGCCGCAGGCTTGCACACCGGTGCTACATGTATATACACGGTAACAGCAGTACGGCACCATCCTCCTCGTTCGCAACACGGAACATGTGGTACTTCTAAATAATCAACACGGACGGGACTTGCGCTGGGCTGAGAACGATTTGCTCTTCGATTTCTCTCTGCGGTGTCAACGGATGTGCTAAACACCTGCAACTACATTTTCGCGGAGATTGCGACATGCGCTATCTCAGGTGGGAGCTGGCCGGCATCACCCTGCTCTGCTGGCTCTCGAGGGAGTGACAGCAGCGGTCTAACCTTAGGAGAACCGGGGCAACAAAATACAACTGCTGCTGTGTTGTTCATCACACCTCTTGCACGTTGGACAACCCTTTCAACGCGAAGCAAATAAAAGCGGCCAAGTATTGCTCAATTTATGAAAACAACGTGAATAACTCACCAGTCCTTGGGGATATCAGTTGGAGGTGTGAGACCTCTTGGAACCCATGGAACACACAAGCTGTGCGAGCTGTGCGACAGGCAGCAACAGGAGTACGGTGGTCTACTGCTGTAATACATACAACCGCTGGAGACGGGGCGGAAAATGCAATGAACCTTTGTGCGGATTGAAAGGCAAAAACGAAATTTCACGAGGGGACCAAGCTCTTCCTCACCTCGCCACCGACACCGTAGCTACTCTCGCGAGCGTGTTGATAGAAGCCATCACGATGCACTGCACTGCACATTGCGTGCACATCACCGCACCACCGCCGGGAGCTCCGCAGCGATAGAAAACAAAACAAGGGTGTATGGGGGCCTCCTCCTTTCTCTTCGCGAACCCCCTTGCGATCGTGATGTCGATCACTGCTCCGTCTGTCAGGGCCTGTGTCTCGCACGTGGTGGAAGGCGGGAGGCTGGATCTGTAGGCGTCAATCGCGGTAAGGTAAGCCTCGTGAGCTGCAGCAGGAGCAGGTAAAAATATACAAAATCAAGGTGGTTTTTGACGGGGAGAGACAAGCAACGAGAGGCCACTCTTCTAGTATGGGAGGGGCGCGGGGTTACTCATTGGCGGTAGGTAGCAGTATCTCGTTGTCATCGGAGAGCACTGCCTGCCGGAAGCTCGGGGTTGCTGCCGGGCCCACCACTTTGTTGCACCAGTGAGCGATTTGAGTTCGTTGCTTTGTTTTCTTTTCCCGCAGAAGGTGTCCAGAGCCGCGCCTCGCAGCGAGAGACTATGTCGGACGACGACGGATTGCGCGACAGCGACTCTGAGGGCGAACCCCAAGGGCAAGACGTAGAGGAGGAGGAGGAGGAGGAAGAAGAGGAGGAGGAGGAGGAAGAGGAGGAGGAGGAGGAGGAAGAGGAGGCCGAGCCTTCGTCCGAGGAAGATTCTGATGATGGCGGTGGTCGGAGCAGGAGGGCGAGCAGCAGCAGCAGGGGCAAGAAGCGGGCCAGGGAGGCTCCGCCGGCGGCCAAGAAGAAGTCGCGGAGGGGAGACATGTCAAGGTGTGTGTGTGTCATTGCACGAGCCCTGCATCTACTGCTGCTTGTACGTACGTGCAAGAGGCGTTGGAAAACGACAGCGCTATTTTATTGGCTGTGAAAACTACTGCCTTTGGCTGTATTTTGTATTTTGAACCCTGTAGGTTGCGCCGCGTCCGGTCCACGTTTGTCGAGAGGCATCTTTGCGTCGAGAGTCATCATTCCGTTGCTCACGGCTGTACAGCAGCGGTGCCTTACGCGTACGACCAACCAAACCCTAGGGCGAGGTCGTGACACTCTGTTGTGTGTGCGTGCACGGTTTACATCTCGTGTGTGTTTGCTTCGTACACTCTGGCCTGGAGCGCGGTGCAGAGCTACTACAAAAGCTGGTTCCACCATGTCACCGCACGTCCTCTCGTAAACCTCGAGGGCTCACTTTCGTGTTGCACACTGCAGCACCTTCCCGCATCGTCTGCTCTTTGTGGGTTGGTCGTTGCAACAATTCGGTTCCATGCGTGCTTGATGGTGTGTAGAGCTTTTAGAAACAGCGGAGCGGTTTTTTTTTAGGTCAAACCATGTGTGCACCGGCGAGGTCCTTGTGGGCCTCTGACGGCCACGGCCGGTCTGCACCATGTTAGTAGAGCAGTCGTGGTCCCGGTTTAGCGGGTCCTTCCCTGCTTAGCGGGATGCCCCGAATAGCGGTTCCAAAATCCCGTTGCACGGCTGCGCCTCGGTAGTCAAACTGTTTATACTACTAGATATGGGGGGGTAATGAGCCGCGTGGTGCGACTCAATACCTCTCAGTAGTCCACGAATGAATCCCGACGCACACCAGCGTGAATCGTTTGTGGTGCAGCTACGCGTGCACCACAGAGGGACAGCAGGCGTGCGACGGGAGCGACGATGATTGTGTGTGCGGCCACCGTTCAAAATTTTGCACTTTACATGCGGTTGTTTCTTTCCGTTTTGATGCACATGCACGAAGAAACAGAATGTGAAGTCTTTCCGCTGTGCGGACGCAAACATTGTAACTACCAATCCGATTCAGCGGTGATGCCCTCAATGTAGCATTTTTTGACACTATACATGTATGGACCGCTAAACCGGGACCGCGACCGTGGCTGCATCAGGAGAAGCCATCCAACATGTTTTTTTGTTGATTCGTAAACGACTGCCGTTCTTCTTGTCGTTGTGTCCGAGGCTGGGTTGGGGGGGGGGCAGACTGACTGATGCAGAACCTAGACCGTCAAAAGCATTCCTACTATTATACGTGTACCAAAGAATCGATTTCCCGACAAGAAGAAAATTACACAACACACAAAGCCACCATTAGCCATGCGCCTTGCCTCTCCTCGCGCTGCCCGTCCCCGCTAATCCCTGATCCTCATCCTGCTTGCTTGCTTTCGTCCCAACACCTTGTACCGTTTGTATCGTTTGTTGTCGCAGGTTCTACGATGAGATGGCGGAGGTGGACGATGACGCCGAAGAGGACTACGACGACAAGGACCGCGCTAACGCGAACGAGCTCACCGCCATGGAGAGGTGACCATTTCTTGCCCCACCAGTACAGTTACGCGCCCGCGATTTAGGAGACAAACCGTTTCGAGAACTGAGGCTCAGATGGTGGCGATGGAAATGAAAAGTCGCCTAAGAAACAAAACCCACCTCAGCCGTGGATCCTACACTAAAAGCGCTATATAGTGCCCTATGCTCGACGGTAATTGACGAAATTAGAAACTGAGAGCCTCGACCCCCAAGTTGGCGTTTCTTACACGCGCCCTCGAACTATTAAGTTTTCTTCACATCTCCCCACACGCGCGATACATACAGTACAGAGACCAAAATTATAATGCGTTGTTCGTCTCTGTTAGCATCAAACCACTCTCTCCACACGCGATGTATTCAGGGACCAATGCTGTATCGCATTGTTTGTCTCTGTTAAGCATTCAACCACCTGTGTGCTACTGCTGCTGTCTTCACCTTTCAACAAGCTCCGCTGTACAATAAGCTTGCGTGTGTTCCAGTGCGCGTCCTGTTCAGCACTGCTGTTACGGGCCATAAAACGCATTTGGCGAAAAACTGGGGTCACGCATAGGGTTGTTGTCAGGGTGATAGCCTACCGCTTCGGCAGCCATATACAACCAAACATATGATACAAGGGGGAGATACGCCAAGACCATCTCTTTGTTCTCACACCGCGGTCTTCAGGGCGACAAACCTTTGAAATGGTATGGCGGTATGCAGTGGCTACAGGTTGGCATACAGCTCGTTTTTGGTTGTACTTCTATGGGCATGACGTTTTTTTTTTTTTTTTGGGGGGGGGTTCGATCGAAAGCGACGAAAAAAGAAAAAAATCGCGGCTGTGGCCACGACCAACGCCACCGCCGAGAAGCGCATTGTCCTGTGCAGGGCACGCGTCAAACCAGCGCGTGATGAATCGCTGTTTTTTGTTGCATGTGCATCGTGCGGCAGACGCCCCACTATGTATGTATGTATAACTGGGTCGGGATTTGTAGGGGTTTTGTCGGCAACCACCGACGCAGCGCGATGTCCTCAGGTCACGATTGTTCGACCGCCTTTCTCGCGTGAAAGTCATTACTTCTGCTACTACGCACATTGACATATGTTACTTGTACAACGAGCCCTGCGTGCGTGCTTTATTTCCTCGCCTCGACGTTTGTGTTTTTTTCTCGGCGCGTCGCGGCGTTTTTTTCAGGAGCAAGGTCCTACGCCTTCGATGAACTCTTTTTCCATATTTGCGGCTGTAGGACTGAGGCCAGTATCGTCGATGACGAACGACGACATCGACGAAATCGGCTGTTTTGTCGTGTTTTCCTTTGCACTCCATGAGAAACTGCTGTCATAGGTACACCTCCCTACACCACCCTGACCCAAAATACTGCACTGTTCACGTCTCTGTTCAACATTCAACAACCCTCCCGGTGAGAACCGGCTTACGTGTATCATACTTTGAGTATCTCCAACTACCACCCGTCCCTTTTTTCCATCGTCCGGCCCCCCCTCTCCCTTCTGCCCCAACAACAGAGACATGCACGAGCGAATCGCGCGGCGGCAGGAGCAGAGCAAGGCCTTCATGGAGCAGCCCCTGGAGGAACAGGCCAAGCAGACCATGCGAAGGCTCGGCGTACGTCTTCCGGAGTCCCGCAACGACCTAGGAGGTCGTATCGACGACGAGGACGACGACGACGAGGACGACGACTTCCGGATGGGACCGGGCGGCGGGGGGGGCGGCGGCGGGGGCGGGGGCGGCGGCGGCGGCGGGGCGGGTAGGCAGGGGGCGGGCGGAGTGGGCGGGGGGGGACGCGGCGGGTACAGCGATGATGACATCGGGGATGGGGTCGGTGTCGTGGACCCAGAGGTTGGTGTTTGTTTCAAGGGTCCGCTTTTTTTCGAGGGGCCACACGTACCCTTTGGGTGCAAGAAGTGGTTTCGGCGTCCTTCGCGATGATTGCCTTCAGTGAGCACGATTTTTGGGTGCCGTGGCAGAGCTCGCGCTGTTGTTGCTTCCCCTGCTGCTGCGGCTGGCGCTGGTGTTATTTGTCCTCGTGTCCCTACGGTAGAGGTGCTGATTGACTTTCCACGGCTGACGCACCAGGGGGGGTTACTTGCCCGCGTTGTGTACTGTACTACTATTTCATGCTTTACTCTCAACGGTGTCCGTTGACCGGTGTGAACGCTGCTGCTCCTGCTGCTCCTGCTGCTGCTGTTGCTCCCACGCGTGCCATCGTTGCTGGGCCGGCGCGCCCACAGGTGGCGCAACAAGCGTTGCTCCCGGGCATCTCGGACAAGAGCCTGTTCGTCGTGGAATGCAAGACCGGAAAGGAGACGTCGGTGAGGGGCCCCCGCAGTACGCAATGATGGCGCACAACGTGCCGCGGTGGTTCTATCCCGTACTTTTCTCCCTGCGAAGAACAAAAGAATACGTCGATTTTTTTTGTTTTTTTTTCTCTGGAGATCATACCGTCCCGCCTGTGTGGGCGATGCCCTGAAACGACTGTATCCAGAGCTTTGGCCTCGCGCTACACCCCCACTGCTACCAGCTGTGTGCCTGGCGTGGTGTGTTCTAGCGCGCAAATAGGGATGGGTGACGTTGCTTCCGACGGCATGCATGATGAAATAGATGGCAGCAATTTTGGCACGACCACCACCGGCGGTTTTTTGTCTCCTTGTTTGCTCCCATTCCCCCCACGTCTCTCTCTATACTTTGGACCTTGGGACATAATCGTGGAGAAGGATGCTTGTCGATTTTTTTCTTCAATTGTCGCCACCGAAGTCTCTTCCTCGGCCAGCACATGACGGTTTCACTCGGGGTTACTGCGATTCGGCCCCTCCGTTGATCTAAATACTTATCTCCCCCTTTTTTCTCTTGCATGTAACGTCCTCCGCTCCCGTGCAGCCAACCCCCTTCGTGTCGGTTTTTGCTCTCATGATCTAATTTATCTGCGGCATGAAACTTTCGAACTGTTCTTTTGTGATTTGTTGCCGCAAGAAGCAACGTACATCCCGCTTACCGTGCCCGGCATGCTCTCATGCTTGGCACCATCGGGTACACCGAAAGTGAAATAGCAGCGTTTGTTTTATTTGTTTTATTTTTTTTTGGTGATTTTCCTACAGAATTAACACAACCCAAAAGTGTGAAACGCTGTAAAGAACGCCGCTGCCAATACCAGAGCATCATCGCTGCTGTGTCTCCGCATGAACCCCCCACCCCCGTCTCACCCCCTCCCATCTGCCGGCCTCCCTCGCCTCCCCACCCCTGTTTGACAACCAACTATTTCGATGGATGGGTCGTCGACCTTTCGATCTTGCCGAAAAAAAAAACGAAAAACGAACTGCTTTGGCACACACCACGGTACAGCTGTGCCTCTCGGTGATGAACAAGGCCTTGGCGTTCAAGGCGAACGGCCAACCGTTCGGGGTTACCTCCGCCGTCGTGCCCGCGGGAACCAAGGGTTTCCTGTACCTGGAGGCGCAGAACGAGCCGGCGGTTAAGGCGGCCATCAACGGATTGAGGGGGGTGCGTACGTGTGCGTTTATGTGGATGTTTTAGGTGTTGTCGTTGTTGTTGTTGTCGTTGTTGTTGTTGTTGTTGTTGTTGTTGTTGTTGTTGTTGTTGTTGTTGTCGTTGTCGTTGTTGTTGTTGTTGTTGTTGTCGTTGTTGTCGTTGTCGTTGTCGTTGTTGTTGTTGTTGTTGTCGTTGTTGCTGTTGTTGTTGTTGTTGTTGTTGTTGTTGTCGTTGTTGTTGTTGTTGTTGTCGTTGTTGTTGTTGTTGTTGTTGTCGTTGTTGTTGTCGTTGTTGCTGTTGTTGTTGATGTTGATGTTGTTGTTGTGTTCACGTTACTAGCCTTTCCGATATTTTTTACTATCCAGTACCCTCCTCTGTACGTACTGATCTAACTAGCACTTGGCGCGGTCCGTTCCCGTAGTCACAGGCTAACTTACCACATTTTGCTCAAATTAAGATGGTCACGAAGGGTCCGCAAGCCACGTATATATATATATATTTTTTTTTTGCATCGACAGCGCTAACCGGCTGACCAATACAAATACGCCAGTCATTAGTCCGGTCGAAACCACAAAATACTCTCTTCGTGTGTGTGTATGTGTATGAGTGAATAGGTGTGCTTAGCATGGACTGCGTTAACCGGCTGACGGATGAAAATATGTACGTGATTGTTGTGTGTGTGCGTGTGTGGTGTGTCGTGTTCAGCTGTAGCCGTTGGCAGGTCCTCGGCGTTTTTGCTTGGTATGTGCACCCCCCTACCCAACAAGAACCCGGAGGGGAGAGGAGGGGAAGGGAGGGGAGTTGTTCCCTCGATCGTGGTTGTAGCATGACGAATTCATCGTGCTTTACGATATAACTCTGACGGTTCCGTGTGTCACGGCGTTTTTTTTTTTTTTTTGTAGATTTACCACAGCAAGCTCCGGAAGGTGCCCATCCCGGACATGACGGCCGTGCTCAGCGTGCGAAGCGCTACCCGCGCCAAGCCCGTGCGGCAGAACCAGTTCATCCGCCTGAAGCGCAAGCCCTACACGGACGACCTGGCCAAGGTGGTGGAGGTGAGCGAGGAACAAAGATACTTTGAGGGAGTGATCCCGGTATTATGTCGGTGCGATCCAGCCGACTTTTCCGGCATTGTAGCGAGCAACCGGCGTTATTCAGAGTATTAAACAACCTTGAATTATTTTTTATTCCGTCTGTGCCAGACGATTCCACCGGCCTTATACGGGGAAACCGGCATTTTTCGACAGGGTTTTCACCGGTACCACTACTGTACTGGTATGTTGCGTTTCACGTGATGGGGTTCGGGAGGCGGACTCGGTTTTACCTTGACCCGTGTTCTTGCAGGAGACGGTTTGTTCGTTTGGCCCTTTACTCATGTTTGACAACACGACCCCCTTTTTTTCGAGACGGAGATGTACCGGTCGTACGAAGCCACCATACACCTAGGTATCTCTCTTTTTTTCTTCGTCTTTTTTGGCGTGTGGTTTCCCGTGTATACTGAAAGCGTGTGTGCCGACAGCAATACCCAACGCTGTTGTTGCACACGCGTCACTTTTTGGACGGAAATGTGCCGGGTTGTAAGCACGAAGCCACCGGTAGTGCGGTAAGCGCCTCTCTTGTGTTGTTTTTTATGTACTGCAAGACGTGTGTATGACGAAACCACGATGCACCTCTCTTTTGTGTATGTGTTTCCCCCTACTGCTGTACAAGCTGAACATGTGTGTGTGCCTGCCGACGCTACGCTACGCTACCCGACACGTAACAGGTCTTGGCAGGGGGCGAGAGAGCCGTCGTGCAATTCATCCCTCGCATCGACCTCGTCTCCCTGTCAGCGGACGCCGAGACCCGCAACGCAAGGAAGTCTCTCCGCCCTCCCCAGCGATTCTTCAATCCGGAAGAGGTGAGTTTTTTTTTTTCTGCATTTTTACATGCGTAACATCATAGAAAGGCTACGACTTCGGAGATAAGTTCTCCGTTTGCGACATGCATTGCTGGAAAAACGGCCACGAGTTGGGAGATAATCCCCCGTTCGAAAGGATCGTTTTCTTGTTTTCGAGAGTCCCGGCGTAAGCGAGTTCGCAAAGTGAGTTTTTCTCTCGCTTCCGTTCCCGGCCTGGAAAGCGCTAGTAGTTCGTGTGTACACAGAGGGGAGAGAGTGCTGCGCTCTTCTCGCATTCAAAATCGAAGGACAGGAGGGATGGGTAAGGGGCCTATGGGAGAGGAACCCTCCTGTGTGACCACGGGCTGGAGTAAACGGCACAAGTAATTGCTGTGAGCGGTGATTTGAAAAAAAGACAACAAAAAAAAAGTGTCGCGCTCTTGTGAGATGAAAGCGTTCTTTTTTGCGGTTTTTTGTTGGGGTATGGCGTGTGCGTCCGGTCACTTTCGTGCGAACCGTTTTAATTTTTTTTATGGCCATGTGGCAACTTTTTTGTTCTTGATGTTCTTGATGTTGCCCCTCCATCCGGTAGCCACGGCGGCGTATCTGTTTGACGTTTCTGTTATGCGGCAAGGGTTCTGAGACAACGGCTACGACTTGTCGTTGTAGTTAGCGGAAGGAAGCGAGGCAAGGACAAGAACGAATCAAGGCCGAATGCGGCTACAACCCGAGGTTCCACCCAAGCGCTACACGAAGAAGAACACAAGCACGAGGACCAGCAACAACAATTTAACAAACAACTGATGTTTGAATGCGACGGCACCAACCCAAACCAAAATGACATCCGAAACGAAATTTCGAACCGACGCCCTGCACAATGATCAGATCAAGCAAGCGAGCGACGAGGCCATGGTGGACCGCAGGCGTTTCCAGGGGCACGGGGACCACATGGACTACTTCCAGAACAACTTTTTCCTCAACGGCTTCGTCGTCAAAGAGGTAAGTGCGGCGCCTCCCCCACGGCCGGTGCAGCCACTCCCTCCTCAGCCTCAGCTCACTCCATACTCTCAAGTCTCGCGTTTGGTCTCACCTTCGCTGGACTGTTGCGTAACCTATTCCCATACTGGATGAATCGACATGAGATATAATGGTTGTAAATATTGAGCCTGTGCGATAAGGATGGGGGGAGTGAGCCCGCAGGATTGATAACACTCTGTTGGCGACGTTTATTTTTTGTGTGTGCTAGAGAGTGGGTATGTGAGAGTGAGTGAGTGGGTGAGCGCTGAATGTGATACATATGTACAAGTTTTGTATCAAAAGTTGTTTGGATGATATGTTTTCAGAATCGGAATCGGGGCACGAGTGTGAGCGAGGGAGTGAATGAATGCTGTGACAATCACCAAAATGTATTTGATTTTGTGATCGGGATCGGCTGCGAGTGAGTGTGACAACTATTATACCTAGTCTTATTCGATTTGTGTTTCCAGAATCGGACGCGAGTGGTTGGACTACTGAGTGAAATCTGAAGGTGACAACCATCAAGTTTTTTTTTTTTGGTGCTCAGAATCGGGGGCGGGAGTGAGCGAATTTTCAACGTGACGACGACCATGTTTTTCCTCGACGTCCTTGTCCGTGAGCTAGGCGAGGGTTATGACGTGAGAAATACACCTGTGTGAGTGAGTGAATGAGGGAGTGGGTGCGTGCCGTGTGTGTGTGGTGAAGACGCAGGGACGTCTACCGGAACACAGAGCGAATCGCAACATGGTTTGGCGTGACATGCAGCGCAGGAGGTGGGCGGGGCAGGAAAGATGGAAGGCGGGGGCAAGAGGAAGTTCTGAGCGTCGTGGTGCTGATAGATACCGTCGCACTTGCACCCGCATCCTTCTTTCTCTCTCCTCCCCCCTCTGTCCACTCTCTCTCTCTCTCTCTCTCTCTCTCTCTCTCTCTCTCTCTCTCTCTCTCTCTCTCTCTCTCTCTCTCTCCCTCTAATTCTCTCTCTCTCATTCTCTCTCTCTCTCTGTCCCAGCATCATTCCTCTTGCTGTGACGGCATCGTCCGTCCTCGCTCACGCGGCATCCGAAAATTTGTCTTTCGCGCGTGTGTGCCGCCCATTCGTGCTTCTCCTGCTGCTGCTGCTGCTGCTGCTGCTGCTGCTGCTGCTGCTGCGTACGGCTAGGTTAACGTGAGCACGTGGCTGCGCGCGGACAGGGTGAATCCCACCCTCGAGGAGATCCAGCGGTTCAAGAGCAGGAGGGAGAAGAGGGACCCGGGGTAAGAGTGAGAGAAGGAACCACCGTAGGATAAGAATGTATGTATAGGCGTTAAGAATGGGAGGTTGATTCCGAGGGGGTGGTTTGCTGCAAGGGGGAGACAGACGACAAGACGGTGACGGGAAAGACAAGTGTAGGAAAAGAACATGCACAGCCTAAGACGGGGAGTTGGTATTTCGTGGGTGGTGTGCTGCAAGAGGAAGGTGAGAATGCGGCGACGGGTAAGTCAAGTCTCAAGAGCCGACGGACACCAAGCGGTTCGTTAGTGCTGTCGCTTGGAAGCACTTGATCGTTGTTGTAAAGTATGAACGCAGTTCTGTGTCTGTCTGAACGACAATCTGGGGTACAGCTCTCGCCCTTTTTTGAGGGCATGCAGTAGCCTCAGTTTGGTCGCGCCTCTCCTCGCACGCTTCCGTCCTCTGGCATGGTGTACAGTTACGATGCCTTTCGTGGCCATGCCCCCACTGCTGTTTGACGAATGTTTTTAGCTGCAGAATTAAGGCCATGCCCACTGCTGTTTGACGAATGTTTTTAGCTGCAGAATTAAGGCCATGCCCACTGTTGTTTGACGAATGTTTTTAGCTGCAGAATTAAGGCCATGCCCACTGTTGTTTGACGAATGTTTGTAGCTGCAGAATTGAGGCCATGCCCACTGTTGTTTGACGAATGTTTTTAGCTGCAGAATTGAGGCCATGCCCACTGCTGTTTGACGAATGTTTTTAGCTGCAGAATTGAGGCCATGCCCACTGCTGTTTGACGAATGTTTTTAGCTGCAGTATTAACTAAGATCGTCGTGTGTTTTGGTACAAATCGCGCTCGTGTCGTTGGTTTGGTTCCAGCGATGGCGACGACAGCGACGACGAGCGCAACCGCGACGCTGAGGACAAGGACACGGAGATCATGGAGGATCTCGCGATGGCGCAGGCCATGGAGCCCACGAGCGACGTGAGCGTGTCTTGGTTGTTGTTGTTGTTGTTGTTGTTGTTGTTGTCGTTGGTGCTGGTGCTGTTGGCGATTGTGATTTGTTGTCGTTATTTTTTTGTTAGGTTGTTCGTATTGGTTGTGGTGCGGGTGCCACCTTCGTGGCGGTCAAAGTTTTGTCCTAACCTCCATCCAGTGTCTCCCCTTCCTCTCTTGCCGTACAGTACACTTCCACGCCGTATTGGTGTATTAGGTATTCCTTGGTACTTGTACGTGGCAAGGAAGTTCCGCGGTGTGACTCACGACAGAGCTGGACGAGGGCTCCCATGCGTGTCCTTATGAATGCTTAAATAGTAGCAGCAACTCATTTCGGCAACGCACATGTTTTCACAAGCCCGTGAGGCAAAAAAAAAGCGAGATATTTCTTGTAGTTTCGGAGTAAATGAAGTGAAGAAATGATAAGTACACGACGTGCGTTGTGTTTGAGGTGATGTGTTTCTTTGGGGGGCCAAACCGACATCGAGAACTGGAACTGAAACAAACAATGGGCGTCTTTTTCGCTCTCTGCTCTCGGAAACACACTTGACTGACCAATCGGGTGTGTCTCTTCCCCTCCCCCGCCCCCCACTCGCCTCTTCCTTGCTTGCGACTGCTACCGCTCGTCTCCTGGTCGTTGTGTTTCCCGCATTGACTTGCCGGGGGGTCGACGAATGAAACGGAACGGGGTTGGGATGGGTTGGGATGGGATGGAATGATGCGGGATGGGAACGGAAAACACACACACACACACACATGCGGTACGAACAACGATCTACCCGGCGCCACGGACGGACCGGCGGAAACAAATTTGAACGGTGCAATCGACGAATGTAATCGATCAACGACCTGGCTGGCTGGCTGGCTGGCTGGCTGGCTGGCGCGCGCCATGGGTGGACGGGCGAAAAAAAAAACACTTGACCGACGCGTTGGGGCGAACGGTTGGATGGATTTTATGCGGACGGGACCCCACGAATGGGGATGGCATGTGTGGTGTGCTCAGGCGCCGCTGTTCTCGAAGGGCGACACCGTGGTGGTGGTGAAGGGAGACCTCACGGACCTCATGGGGAGGGTGCTGAGGGTTAGGCAGGTACTTGTCAAGTGTTTGTTGTCATTCGTTACATAGCTGTTCTGGTCTCCGTTTCAGTATTTGCCTTTCGATATACATGCCGGTCCAACTTTGACGCGGACGCGAAGCTTCCTTGGTCACAGACTTGGACTAATTATGCCGCGCGTAGATGTTGTTCTCCTTTTAAGAGCGTGACTGACAGCATCTGGATACCAGACGTCATTAAAGCTGCTTGTGCATGCCATGAAACCGCCCTGACCTCTTATCTCTTCTCAATTCCTTTGCCGTGATCTTGGAAGTTGGCGTGTCTACCTCCAACACAAATAAAGGCGTGGTGCGCATAATTGATTCGCGTGCTACGTGCATCGAATTGTCTTTTATCACGCGCTTAAACCCCTCACGTAGTACTGCTGCGCTGCTGTACTGCTGTGCGTTGTTTTTTTGTTTGTTGTGGTTTGTGTGTGTGTGTGTGTTTTGGCCGTCAGACGGGGCAGTCGCAAGCCGATGCCGTGGTGCACATCCAGCCCCTGGTGGAGGAACTCGCCGACGAGGTGGTGGAGCTGAAGCCGGACCAGCTGGAGAAGTACATCAAGGTCGGGGGTCACGTCCGCATCATCGACGGCAGGTAACAGCAGCACCTGTGGAAGTGGTGGTGGGTGGGTGGGTGGTGGCGGAGGCGGTAGCAATTGTTCTTGTTATAGAGATTTCGGTGGGCGGTGGTCACGTGGTAATGTTGTTGCTGGTGGTGGGGGTGGTAGCTGAAGTGGTGGTGGTGGTCATGTTTTGCGGTGGCGGTTGTGCCGGTGATATTGAAAGGGTTTTGTTGGCCGTCTTCGGGTCTGGACGACCATCGGTACCGCCTTCCTGCCGAAGACAAAATAATGTTAATTGTTGCGAATTCTGGGAATCGATTCTGCCGTGTGGGACATATGGAGGTGTCAGGTTTTACCTACCCGTGTTGTCTCCATGAAATCGGTTATCCGATCATGTGGTGGCTGGTATCTAGACTCACGATCCTGTCGCCCGGTGCGCGTGTACAAACCTGTTTCCTTCTACAGGTTCACGGGAGAGACCGGCACAATCCTCAAGATTGTCAAGAACCCGGACGGTGCCAGCAGGGCCATGGTGCTCACGGACATGAGCTCCAAGGAGCTCGAGGTGTGTTGTGTGTGTGTTTTTTTTATTATTTGCATCGACCGCGCTAACCGGCTGACCAATGAAAATACGTCAGTCTCAGTAGTAGTGCGGTTGAAGAAAAACACAATGTTCTTCTAAAGGCCACGATCTAGGACCCCGTGTGTGGATATGCGTGTGTGTTTCTGGCGGGGTCGTGCTTTGTTCTCGCAACATTAGCATTCCCTGGTTTTGTTTGTCGCTGTTTTGTCACAAGGTGTCGCCCCGGTTTACGTCCATCGCTTTGGTTTCAGCCAAGCGTTGACGACGATGTTTTTTTCTGTCGAGTTGTATGTCTGTTTTTCGCCTACCGCCCACGGGCTTCGCGTCGGTTGCTTGAGCCGGTTTTAGATGTTTGTTTTTCTCATTTTTCCGGATTATTTTTTGTTCGTTGTTTGTGCCTCCTAGCCTGCTGCTGTCAGCGGCAACTGCCTCATGCGTAACTCCTCATTTGAGCTATGTAGCCGTCTACGTGTGTATTTGAGCGGGTCTCGATACATGAACAACAGCAGCACCATGCAGAGGCTTCGGGGCTGACCCCCTGCTGTTCCCTGCTTCATTGTGTTGCCCAGTTGTTCTCTCTTTTTTTTTTTTGTCGTGCTATCATGTTTTCGTGCTCTTTTTGTTTTTTTCAGCAGGTGCACATTTATTTGGCCTTTTTTTCCCTTTTTTTTGTTCATCCTTTTACTTTTTTTTTTTTTTCCCGCTGTTT